TTTTTGATTTATTGCAGAGATGAGGTCTTGCTGCCCAGGCGGGTCTCAAACCCGTGGGCTCAGGCAATCCACTCACCTCAGCCTCCCAAAGGTGCGGGATTACAGGCTGAGCCACCGAGCCCGGCTTTTATTTATTTTTTTAAAAAAGTCAAAGTCTCTGTCACCCAAACTGGACTGCATTTGTCATGATCACAGTGATCACGGCTTATGGCAACCTTAACCTCCTGGTCTAAAAAATATCCTTCCACCTTAGCATCCCGACTAGCTGGGACTATAGGCATGCAGTCACCCTGGCTAAAAAAAAATTTTTTTTTTTTCCGAGTTGAGGTCTCACTCTGTCACCCGTGCTGAATGGGGGTGCAGTGGCATGATCATGATGATCACAGCTCACAGCAGCCTTAAGCTTCTAGACTCAGACTATCCTTCCACCTCAACCTCCCGAGAAGCTGGGACTATAGGCATGCACCAGCATGCCCAGCTAGTGGGTTGGGGTTTTTTTGTTTGCAGGGATGAGGTTGCTATGTTGCCCAAGCTGGTTCGAACTTCTGGGCTTCAGCAATCTGCCTGCCTCAGTCTCCCAAAGTGCTGAGATTACAGGTGTGAGCCACTGCACCTGGTCTAGAATATTTTAAAACAAATCTTAGATATGATCACATTTTATTCATAAGTACTTGAAGATGAGCATTGGTTTGACTGAATATACCTATGTAAACTATGGTGGAGTGGTGGGTACACTTAAAGCCCAGACTTCTTTGAAACTGTACAATGCAAAATGTAACCAAAACTGTTTGTACCCCCTATAGCTATTGAAGTAAAGAAAAAAATAAAAAATTAAGTCAGTTAATACATTGGGTAAAATGGGCATCTTTACAATATATAAATTTTACACCCGGAAATAGTATATGGCTATCTTTTTAGTCAGACCTTCCTTAATATCTTTCAATAAAGTTCAAAGCTTTCCTTCAAATGGAATAAAAAAAACTATGTAAAGTACATGAATGTAAAATATCTGAATTCATTATTTCATTATGTATGATGACATTTGACAGATTATCACATACTGTATCTACTTCTGTGGAAATGTAAACTTTTAAGGTACTGTTTTTTATGGTACATGAGTGTTTTAACTCTAGAATATCTTTTGAGTCATATTAATGTGACTTGGAAGGGGAAAGTTAGCCAAACAAAGCAATTATCTAATTATATACTTCTAGTGAGTATTTTTCAAAAATAGATGCTTTTATGAGCATCTACTTTAAACACATTTAAGAAATTTTAAATAAAATATATTGCTTTCTAGTATGTTTCTCTTTTTTTCCTACCTTTCTTCTGGTTTAGAGGAAAAAATGTTCTGTTCCTTCTCCAAAAGCTGACCTTAGCAGATGTATACTGACATTATTTTCCTGTCACAGACTTGTGCTAAGTCATAATGTCTTTTGTATCTGTATTCTGTTTTTCTCTCCTATCCTGTCAGCCTACAATTCTTCAAGTTTACTTTATTAAAAGCAACAAAAACAAAACAAACTTTTCTTATTTTATGTCCTCACTGTCTGAATACCTCTGTTAGTACTTTGTTGACCTCAAGGAAAGGATCCATTTTTTTTTTTTTTTTTTTTTTATGAATAGAAAGTTCTTTACCTTCAATCTCTTAGATACCTTTTTATTTTCACTTGCCACTTACTCCAAATACTCTTGATGTTAATTTGTAATATAATAATAAGCTAAACACAAAGTTGTCTCACTGGCATATGATTTATACACTAATATATACCACAACGGAGTCTAGAATTAGAACTTCACTCAATTCTCCTCAATTCAATTCCTCAAAATTTGTCAAACATTTAAATTCCCACTATATAACAGGTATTATTTCAGGCTCATTTGCTGCTAATCCTTAGAATATTTTGAACTTTGAAATCAAGTTGCAATTAATATAATTCCAGAAGAAATTACAGGTAGATACCATGCACCTAAAAATATAAAAACTTGTTTGTTGTAGGTGCAAGTGCCTTTGTTGTGTGACAATGTTAAAAATGATTTGTTTGTAATTTTCTATGCCAGACTATTATGGTCAAACTATTATCTAATTATATTTTTAAATTTATCTTTTAGGGACAGTATGGAAATTACCAGCAGTGAAAAAGTACTTACATTCCAATAGCCAGTATCTATTAGCAGCCATATTGTCACCTCAGCACTGTGGACACCTCCCTGTGAAGAGATCCTTTCATTCCATCTAGTTTTTGGAAAAACCTTGTGGATAAGTGGCTGTTTCATCAGTAAGCAGCCTTTGTGGTTTAGTTGTAAAAGGCTTTAGTAGCTCAAAAAATACTCTTGATTTCACATTTCTACCCTAGATGGCAACATTGGACAGAAAATGCAATGACATAACCAATTTGCAATGATTTCGGAACTGTGTTTCAAATGAACTGTTACAGACTGAAAGGTGTGAACAGCTTTGTATGTTTATGAAGGTTAAGGGAATTTAATACTTTTCCACAGATTTTTTTTTTTGTAAGGGGAAGAGGGAAATGTACACTTTTTACAGCAGCAATATTTTATATATTATGTTTATTTCATGTGGTGAATATGCAAGGCGGTACACTACGCACTGGACAGAATCAGAAATCCTCTGTTAATGTGGACTGGAGCATGGTAGATGCTTGATTGTTTTGGTCTCAGAATGGTGTATTACAAAGATAAAGGTGAGGGAGAAGACAAAGCACACCATATGTCCACTTTTCTGTTCTTATAGAGGAAATGCAGATCCCTTTTATCTATTAGATAATCGAGGGCACTGTGATACAGTTTTGAGTAAAAAGACATTTTTTTAAAAGCCTTCCAGTTTTGTGGATTAAAACCTTTTTTATAAAGATCATTTATAATACTGTTATAAAATGTGAGGCAATAAGAATTATTTTATGTTGAATCTGAAGAAGCTTTGGTAACAGTTTCATATAAATGAAGTGGTAATCCTCTCCTTAAAATAGCAATAACTGAGAATGAAAGTGTTAATTTTACCTTGTTTGAGTAATCAGGGAACTTAATAAGTAATATCAAAGCATTTTATAAATGATATCAAAGAAAAGTCAACATTGATCCAGTAATTTTATTTTTTAACATTAGAAGGATAATTGGATATATAAACAAAATAGTTCAGGAGACTTTACAAACCTCTGTTTCAACTTTCTTAACTGGAAATAATGCTACATTTATAAAGGGACACTTTTATGTTTTTCCCTTTTTTTATTGTTGGTTAATGTAACACAGAGATGTTTAGGAACATGCTTATCAATGAGGTTTATTCTCTCTGTTTTAAAAGCACAGAGGTTGCATTCTAGATCACCTTGTTTGTTAGTATGGCATATTTAATCATTATTTGAGACTGTTCTGTGCCTGATTATTTTAGCTAAATTCAGGGATATTGTATTGGGCAGGAAAGCATGCACTTAAAATTTCTAACCATGGTTATTTAAGCATAATCTGAAAACATCTAGCCCAAAGGTAAGTTCTATTTTCATCACAGTTGCCTATACCCAGGGAATAAGATATATTCTTTATAACTGAATTGGTTTTTCCCACTTCTAACTGGAAACAAAACAGAAGGGGTGCCATAAATTTGAATAAGCAGAGCATACTGTTCTCAACATACTGTAATCAAAAGGAGGAATTCAGTGTGTGTCTCTGTGTGTATGGGAGAGAGAGAAAGAGTGTGTGTGTGGGTGTTATAAGGTCAGAATAGTTTGTTTTTTTTCAACTTGGACAGAAGAAAATGGACATCAAGTTTGAACAGATAAAGCATGGACAGCCTTATTGTGATTGAATGCTTATAGGTTCTGTGCCATTTTTCCACCACTGTGTACTTTGTTGCTATTTAAAACTGTATCAACTCTAACGGAAGAATAAATTATTTGTGATTTTAATTTTCTCATTTGTTTCTTTAAATTAGATCTCTTTGACTCTCTTGTTTTGTCTGGAGACTATGCTGTGGGTTTTTATATAAGTTAGTCCAATATAAGCAGACTGTATTTGTATTCTAGGACTTTATCAAAATTCTCTTGTCATGCCCAAGTTAATTAGAATTAACTGTTCAGTAATCACTATGTTGTGTAGGCTGTTTGTTACAGAATTCTTTCTCTGAAAATGAAGTCCATGAGGCTGTAATCAAGATGACTGAATTAGATAAATGAGTTGAGGAGACAAAATTGTACTGAACCCAACCTGGTGTAGAACCGTTATCTCATTTGAAATAAGCTCAACTGACATTAAGAAATAATTTGTCTTGCCAACCCATCTTCTGTTGTCTTATTCTCCTTTTAATGGAAACTAAAATTGCAATTTTAATAAGCAGAATTTCCTCTAGGACTTTCTTCCTGGAGACTAGTGCATTTGCAAGGTTTAATTGTTTTATAACAGTCCTATTTCATAAAAGTTTTTAATTGGTGGTGACAAAAATTACCTTGCTCCTTTGATACCTAATAAGAGGAATGATTTTACCAGTAGCTGTCTACTAAACTTGACATTTCCATATGGACTATAGATTCTGCTACTAAGATTTTCATTTTATCAAAATATATTATAATGAATAAATATTATAATATCCCATAAAATTCCAAAAGTAAAATATTACTAAGAAGAGAGCAAGATGATTATTAATAACCATTTAAAAATATTTAAATGTCCTAGTTTTGCTGTTTGAGAACATGTTAGTATTATTCTGTAGCATTATTCACGTGACATGTTGTTTTTGGTTTCGTTTTAAAAATTTGAATGGAATTTCTAAACATAACACTAAAATAGAGAGAATGTATAATAAGCCCCCATGTACTATAAGTCTGTTAATCTTCTTAGCAACTCATGGCCAATTTTCTGTTGTCTACATACCAGCCCCACAAACTGAAGCAAACACTGTGGTATTAATCTCTAGATATTTCAGTAAAAATCTATTTAAAAAATCTTAAAAAAAATATCTTGGACCATAAAGACTCTTCCTGTTCAATATTAACATATTTTCAACGTTTACATTGAATTAGAAACCATCTCAGAATCTGCGTGTCTAAATCACTGCCTTTTCTTTCCTTTAAAAGTTATCCATGTTAAATAAAAGTTTAACGGACACACATTTACAAAAAGTGAACAGTCTTCATAATTTCATCCCTTAAGAGTAATAATTATTAAATTGGTACATTTTTTCCAACTTGATTTTACATGCATAAGCCAACATATTATTTGTCTTCTTAAAATAAAAATGGTATTATACTATGTACTATTCTGCAGCTTTCTGTTTTTTAAAACTTAAAAATATCTTGAGTGCTCCCTCTTCCAATGTTGTTTCTAATTTTTCACTGTTGCAAAAACAAAACTTTTGTAAAACCATCTTGCAGGGTTTTTTATATACTGTTGGGGTATTTCTATACAATAAATTATTCATATTTTAGGTATAAGGCTATGGACAGTTTTAAAAAGTGTCACCCTAAAAGATAAATCCTTGCCAATATCAGTTTATTAGTTTTGTCAATTTTTGCAATTCTAGTTGATTTTTTAAAATGTTATCTCTAAATTTAACTTGAATTAGATTTACTTACAAGTTTAACATCATTTTTTAATGCTAATGACACTTTTAAATTTATTATTTTATTGTTTTAGGGGTACATGTGAGGGTACATGTGAGGGTTTGCTATATAAGAACATTGCATGAAGGCAAGATTTGGGCTTCTAGTGAGCCCTCTTCCCACCTAGCAGTGGATATGGTGCCCGTTGGGTGTTTGTGTATCCCTTATCCCCCTCTCCCACCCTCCCTCCGTACCCCTCTCCTTTAGCAGTGTCCAACACTTTCCCACCTGTGTGCCCATTGCTTAGTGCCCACTTATGCGTAAAAAGGTGCAGTATTCAGTTTTTTGTTTCTGTGATAGCTTACGTAGAATGATGGTCTCCAGCTACATCCAGTTGCTGCAAAGGACATGATTTTGTTCTTTGTGACTGTGTAGTATCTCATCGTGTATATGTCCCACATTTTCTTTATTCAGGCCAATGTCAGTGGACATCTGGCTTGGTTCCATGTTTTTGCTATTGTGAATAATGCTGCAATTAACATACGCATTCAGGTATCTTTTGGGTATACAGTTTATGTACCTCTGGGTATATTCCCAGAATCGAGTGAAATGGTAGCTCAAGTTTTAATTCTTTGAGAGCTATCCAAATTACTTTTCACAAAGGTTTAACTAGCTTACATTCCCACCAAGAATGTAGAAGCATTCCCTTTTCTCTGTAGCCTTGTAAACACCTGTTGTTTTCTGACTTTTTAATGATAGCCATCCTGACCGGTGTAAGGTGGTAATCTCATTGTAGTTTTGATTTGCATTTCTCTGATGATTAGTAAAACTGAGCATTTTTCATGTTTGGTGGCTGCTTGTACATCTTCCTTTGAGAAGTGTCTGTTCATGTCCTTTGCCCACTTTTTAATGGTTATTTGTTTTTTCCTGTCAATTGTAGATTCTAAATGTTAGGCTTTTGTTGGATTCATAGCTTGCAAATATTTTTTCCTGTTCTGTGAGTTGCCTTTTTACTGTCTTGATGGTTTCTTTTGCTGTGCAAAACTTTTTTAGCTTGATAAGGTCTAGGTCTCACCTGTCAGTTTTATGTGTTTCTGCATTTGCTTTTGAGGACTTGGTCATGAATTCATTGCTTAAGTCTATGTCCATGTGGGTGTTTCCTAAGTTTCCTTCAAAGATTCTTACAGTTTGAAGTTTCACATTTAAGTCCTAAGTTGAGCATCATCTTAAATGCTTGTGGACACTTTTAAATTTTTTGTTGTGAAATGCCTTGTAATGTTCTTTGTTGATTTTTCTGATGAGTTGTTTCTTGTGTGAGAGAGGAAAATATATATACACACACCCAAGTATATAAAGCTATTAATCGTTTGTCTCTGTGTGTTACAGGTCTCTTCTGTCCATTATTTTTTGGTATCATAACCAAGTTATGATACCTTTCACTGCATTAAAGTTTTAAGATTTTATGTATTAAAAAATTTGTGGCTTGTGACCTCCCTACTTGCAATTTATAAAATGTTCTTTATATTGGTTTTACATTTTTAAAACTTACGATATATGGCATGATTTTAGGACATTAACTTTTTCCTATATGGATAACCAGTTGTTTAAACATTTATTGAATAAATAAATTTTCTTTCAGTTATGTGAGAATCCACTATATTCTTTTTATTTAAAAAGTTAATTATAGTTAAAGCCTGTTGTATTTATTACATTTCAAAGACTCATTAGATCCATTTAAGTTATAACCATTTAATTTAATTGGCATGAAGTTGAAAGTTGTTTTTTCCCCCAACATGGTACTTTTAAATTGAATTAATGTTATCTGGAAAGTTATAAACAATGACTGGCTTCTTAATAGTAAGATAATTATTAAATGTGTTTTTATATGGAATGATGGAACCTCTTAGAGATTTTTGCTTGTTGAAGTTTACACATTCTTTAAAATTTTGTGTCCTGCTTTTAGATTATCTCTGTAGCTGCCTCAAAGTAGCTATTTGATTACTAAGAAAAATAATGAAGGAATCAATAGAAAATTCTATTTTATTGTTTACAAATCCAAATTTCAGAAATAGACAATGCAGTATAATTTTTATTAATTCAATAAAGACCTGTAAATAGGATGATCATGTACCTTATTGATCAATCAGGGAAACATTTGAGAATAAGAGGGAGATTGTGTGACATACACATGCACATATGTATAAACATACTTGTACATATATGTGTTATATACGTGTATATCTGTTGTTTATATGGATAAATATGTATATACCAGGGGTGCCAAAAAATGTATACATATATTAAGAGATGTTATCTATGTATTACTATTAGTTTCCTGTAATCAGAAGTCTAGATGCTGATGATAACCACTTTGAGCACCTCTTGTAATTGCAGAAGTTAAATGTATCTTGTATTCATCTTTTGTTACTGGTATATATTGAGTATTACAATTGCAAAACAGTTTTTCCTTTAAAATGTGTATACTTTTTTTTGGCACCTCTGTATTTTTATTTTATCTTTTTCCTGTTAGAGAACTTAAATATGTGAGTGATGCATTTATGTTTAGGCTATCATTTTTTTTGAAACAGGGTCTCACTCTATCACCCAATCTAGAGTGCAGTGGCATTCCCAGTTCACCATAGCCTTGACCTTCTAAGTTCAAGCAGTCCTTCCACCTCAGCCTCCTGAGTAGCTGGGACTACAGTTTTCTGGCTTTCACTGTTTGATGTATACTGTGATTCCTGTTTCTCTACCATCTTTTTTTTTGAAATAAAAAAATTATGTACCAAAAGTACTTTGATTTTACTCTAATATTAGCTCTTATTATTTATCTTGTGTCAAATCTAAAGAGCTTTATGTCTGCATATTAGGAAGTGTACCTATATTAGCTGTGGAATGATATTTAAAAATTGCCATATGTTTTCCATACTATTTAAATATGTGATCAAACTGTATAAGTTTTCAGGACTCCTGGTATCAGTGAACTAAAATACTATTTATAGTGATCAAGAATTTTACCTTATTTTCTATCAACTTGCCTATCCTAGGGAATTCTGTTAATGCTTAGTAAATTAAGAGCAAGGAAGTGTGGTTTGACTTTCTTTTCAGTCCTAGTATCATTCTATCCATAGAAATCCTATTTCGTGTTCATTAATTTCAGTATTCCATTCTTTCCCGAGATCTTGCTTCACAGCAAGCTTTCATACTTCAAGCTCTACATGTTAGTGCTCAGTCCTCATTCCCACATAAACACAACCATTTTGAAAACATGAACTGATATTAATTACCCCCTTGGCACCAAAAAGTCAGGATTTCCTGATGCGGCACGCTAATGTAAAATGCATTAGCACAAGCACTGGCTCCAAGGGGTA